GTTCCCCCTCCCCTTTCCACCCTGAGTATATCTTTTCAGCAGCAAGATTCCTATTTTGTTTTCTCTGCACCTGTTGATCTGTCTCATGTTACATTCCCCGTCATTTCTAAGTCATTCCTGCAACGAGGCCTGAAAAATAGCTGCTTTTAATGGTTTCTGGGTTTTGTGTCTGTTTACTTTTCATTTTTCAGGAGGTGTTGAAACAAGTAGTCCTGTGGTACTAACTCCTGTGATGACATGCCTCTCTGCTTATTCTCCCCGCTCCTGGTGAATAATGTGGCTTGCATGGGAGCGCCCTTAGCAGTGCGGTTGCCTGGAGCGTTGTGAGACTTGGTGTATTCAGCATGGTGGTTTGTCTTTGTTTCCTTTCTTGACATTCAAGACTCCCAGAGTGTGCTTTTTTGTGTATCAAATATAAATAGAAGATAAGGATATTGCAACAAATTTTAGAATCTATTGAATTGTATATAGTGGGTTTTTTTTTTCCAGCATTTTCTTCCCAACTGTTACATAGAAAGTGTTCTGTAAAAATTCTGGAAATAAAAGGAAATATAATCTAGGGGAAAAACTACATCAGTTATGTTGAGTGAGAGGTTAACATACTTAATAAATTTATCACTCAGGTTTTCATTACTAAATGGAAATACCTGCAACAAGCTGCTTATCAAGGGAAGATTTTTATTTCTGTTCATGATTTTGGAGACTCATGGGCAACCCTATTATTTTGGCAGATGGCAACAGAGTCCCAGTGTGGTGCAGAGCATCACATGGCAAGAAGAATCAAAGAGGAAGGATCCTCTGGTGAGCCAGGAAGCAGAGAGAATGGCTGGGCGTGACTCTGGCTTTTGTAGCCATCTGGCTTATGTGAGCCATCTCCTGAGGGCATGGCCCCCATGACATCAGAGCATTCTGTGAGGCCCATCTCCTGGATACCATAGTCGCATTAAGTTTTCATACTCTTGATGCCATCAACTTATGGCTTTGGGGTTTAAAGATCACCATATATTTGGTAGACTTGTCCCTAACTGTGTAAGTAAAGAAAGAGCATTTATTTATCTTTGAAATTCCAACAGAGAAAGTAGGGTACAACATGAACCAGTATTTCCCAAAGAGTAAAACCTAGAGAAAAGCAACATGAAAAATTTATATATCTAGTAATAAAATTTACTTTGTTCTTTTTTTTAAGACTTATTTTTATTGGAAAGTCAGATATACAGAGAGGAGGAGAGAGGAAGATCTACTGTCCTGTGATTCACTCTCCAAGTTGCCACAATGGCCGGAGCTAAGCCAGACTAAAGCCAGGAGCCAGGAGCTTCTGCCCAGTCTCCCATGTGGGAGCAGGGTCCCAAGGCTTTGGGCCGTCCTCCACTGCTTTCCCAGGCCACAAGCAGGGAGCTGGATGGGAAGCGGTGCTGCCGGGATTAGAACTGGTGCCCATATGGGATCCTGGCTCGTTCAAAGCGAGGACTTTAGCCTCTAGGCCATGCCGCCGGGTCCGTGTATGTATTTTTAGAAAACTGTCTTACCAATTTGAAAATATAAAACCAGCTATGTTGACGGTCAGCTGGCCAACCAGAGACACTTGTGTGATTACAGACGGCTGCCAGTGTCTGACTTGGGGAAATAGTCCTAGGTGACCTCTAGAGTGCTGACTGCTGCACTGGATGCAATGCAAAGCCAACATGCAGTTACTAGGTTTGGAACTTTGAAGCCAAGGGCTCATTTCTAGTCACCGGGCAGTTAGAGCAGCCGAAGCCCGCCTGGTGGCTTCCCATGTGGCTTCTCAGACCCCCTCGCCCAGAGGGAGATGTGCTTCTCCAGCTGCCAGCAGCCCTCTTTCTGGAGAGCAGTTTCCTTCTCAAAACAAAAGTAAATTAGTTCTTGAACTCTGAGAATTTAATGCAAAATAAAACCTAACACAGAGTTAAATCTGATTTACTTATCTAGCTGCTTCTCTAGCCCCAATTTTTATCTTTTAGGGCAAATTCTTTTGCTTTAAGTGAGCAAGTAAATTAATAGAATGGGTAAGAAAAATAGAATAAATACAAAATGGACTCATTTTCTCATGTAGTTTTAACTTTAGAGTTGTGTGGGATGGCCATGTTCAAAATCATGGCAAGGTGCTTTGCTACGTTTTGGTTTTTCTTAAAGGCATGCGCAGAAGAATCATTGTGAAATCTAAAAAAAATTTGGTGTGAGAATGAACTAGTATTTCTCAGAAAAGCTGACTCTTCTTGGATTAAAGGTTTTGCATTATATTCATAATTCACTGACTCATTTTGATACTATTTTAAGTCATTCTTAATGGCATACTCTCTTGACTACCAGATGTCCTATGAAGTTGTCTATGCTTTTGGCCATACCAACTCACTGATCTTTCTTCTTGGAATTTGACTTTTGCTGTACCTCATCAATCTTCCCTAGATTCTTATTCTTGATGGGCCACAGTGCCAACCCTGACACCTTGCTGAATTCACCTGTGAAACATCTGATGCACGCAACTCCCCAGACTAGTGTTATTACAGGTACCCTTCTCTGAAACAATTCCTCCCGGTGCACATTTTATGCAATACTCTGTCTTCATCACATCTCTGTTCATGACTGCTGAGTGTCTTCTCATGGCCTGCCACATACAGCATTGGAATTCTTTCTGGGTGCTGCTTGAACCCTCGTGTTCTTATCCTCTGCTCCTTCTCAGCCACCCGGTACCCCAGTCTTGTTCTCTTGTGTATGCTGAAATGGCCACCTACCATTTGTGCCCTGTCTCCTTTCTACTCTCATGTTCAAATCATCTCCTGTTTTCAAGTCTCAGAAGATGGATATCCCATTCATTATCTAAGAATTCGTGATCTTCCCAGTTGGAATATTTGCTTATTCTAGATTTTATCTGTTATCTCTCCGTTAATAGTCTTTTTTTTGGTCCTGTGGGTCTCTAAATTTCCACTCAAAGGAAGGGGCAGTCTCATTATTACCTATTTCCTAACCTCTGCGTATGCTTTGGCATCTTATTTTTTTATGAGCTCAGTGCAATATTGATAATTGAATGAGTTATTTAATATTTACTAAATATGGATGATACACTTAAAGATGTTTTGGAATGTAAATCTTTGACCTATTATGATTGTTAATAAATATTGATCTTACCTTTATTAGTTATTGCTATGAGTTTTAAATAAAAAATATCACCTGTCCAAAAAGCTAATGCCTGCCAGTATTCTGAACATTTTTTCTGTTCTTGCACATTAAGTAATTAACTTGCTTATCAGTTTTGCAGTATGTAATCTTTCAAAATCTAACAGCAAAGATTTCTTTTTTTTTTTTTTCTGTATACTTTCCAGTAAAGGGGAAGTAAATGAGCAGCTGGTGACTCAATCCACTTCAAGGTAATGGAAAAGTCCTAGCACATGTTGCTTGGCTGATGTGGTAAGGAGCCTTCTGGAACACTGCCCCTCTTACACCCCCACTTCCTTTGGCGTGGGGTCCATCCCGGTAACATGTCTTCATAACGTCCTGTGTGCAGAGCCCGTGCACAAGTCGAGCTTTGTAGGAGTCGCCTGTGTTCCGTTTGTTTCCCAGAAGCTCTGTGGGTTTTTAGAGGGTGGGAACTGGGTCTGATGCATTCTTTATCTGTTGATCAACAGAATGAAATATTTGTTGAATGGCTGAACATAGAAGCTATTCATTTTGGTGGTCTTTACTGTCCAGGCCGAGCTCAGGGCAGTCCTCTTTCCAAAGATTTATGCTGAAAACAGACTAGATATGATTTCCTTCCACTAATAACTTTATTCAGTATTCAAGAAATGTGAATACCTTGAGAGTAGCTTATTATATATAATTTGTTTTATATTTGTTTATATAAATTTGTTTTTCTGGTAGCATTCAGAATTTTGTGCAGTGGACCTGGCATGATAGTGTAGTGGTTAAAGTCCTTGCCTTGCACGCCCGGGATCCCATTTGGGCGCTGGTTCTAATCCCAGCTGCCCTGCTTCCCATCCAGCTCCCTGCTTGTGGTCTGGGAAAGCAGTGGAGGACGGCCCAAAGCCTTGGGACTGTGGACCCATGTGGGAGACCCGGAAGAGCTCCTGACTCCTGGCTTTGCATTGCCTTAGCTCCAGCCATTGTGGTCACCTGGGGACTAAATCATCGGACAGAAGATCTTCCTCTGTCTCTCCTCCTCTCTGAATATCTGATTTTCCAATAAAAATAAATACATCTTAAAACAAAATTTTTTGCAGTATCTAAAAAATTAGTGATTTAACTAATTAGCAACCAGATTAACCAGACATTTGCATATGAACAGTGATGAGAATTGATAAGGGGTGGTGCTTGGTAGTGAACATTCATTTTTAGTGATTTATCTATTCATTTATTTTTGTTTATTTTTTAAATGCAAGTGTTGTGATGAGTTGTTCAACAACCTTTCAAGTAAGTTGAAAAAAAAGTGATATGTGCTTTTTTGAAAATTTGTACTTCGTTCGGTGGGATTAACCTTAATATTAAGTGAAATGATTTAGTTGTTTGAGTAATGAAATGGTTTGAGTAACTGTAGTTGTTTAAGTAGTTATATAACTGATGATTTGATATATTTATTATAACCACTATGCTTATTTTCCGATCGCTCAAAGCTGAAATGCTTCTGTTCGCTCACCGGGGTCTCTGATGTACAGGTTCCACCCGTGTGTGAGCGCCTTCTCCTTGACGAGCAGCTACGAGCCTGAGTTATTGAGTTCTCCAGTGGTCATGAATACACGTTAGGTGTTCACAACAATCGTTTTGGGAAGTAGAAATGAAAAAGACGCCCTTTGTTCTTACTCTTGGCCTTTTTCCCTTCAGGTTATGCATCAGCCCCTAAGGAGTGGTGAACCCTTTTACTAGTACTTTGTAGAAACAAATTATTTCACCAGAAAGAAAAAACATGGAAAAAAAAAAAGGAAAAGAATCCTCTTGTTTTATTGATGTCTCATGCTTGCTTTGTTCTCTCCTCTCTTTCTGTTTTGCAGTGAGCATGTTTTTGAACACGTTAACACCGAAGTTCTACGTGGCCCTGACAGGCACTTCCTCATTAATATCAGGGCTTATTTTGGTAAGTGGTAGAATCTTTCTTGTTAAAAAACTTGTTGATTACTAGTATGTGTGGTAGTATGTGTATGAGGAAAAAAAATCTGGAATAATAAATATCAGCAATGATCACCTGTCATATGTGTGTGTGTGTGGGGGGCGGGGGAGACTTCAGAGAAAAATCTGGAATAATAAATATCAGCAGTGATCACCTGTCGTGTGTGTGTGTGTGTGTGTGTGTGTGGGTGGGGAGACTTCAGAGAACTTTCACTATCCAGGTTACAGATTTCTGTGAAATAGTTGAATGGAAATGGAAGCAGGCATGTGTTTTGTTGAAAGAGAAAAAGCAAATGTATATAGCAAGAAATGTGAGATGAGACACATTTCTCTGTCATTCTAACATCAAAAAAGCTAATGTAAAATTTACATCGAAGTGACAAAATTAAGATCAGTAGAAATATAGCTGTTTCTTGAAATGTGTTGACATGATTTATGGCAATTGTAATTTTTCCCCTTCTATTGTTTTGTCAACATTTGCATTTACATCTTTATTGTTTCCAAAAAAATTACAAATAGGCAAAAGCAGTATCATTATCATCCATGTGGCTCTATCAACTTTTGTTCTAGAATAATCACAGGTTGGCTGAGTTGCAGCTTCTTCAGTAGCCCATTTAATGACCTGAAGTGAAGCCCATCTACCATTCCTGGTGGCTAGTCTAGTATAATTAAATGACTATTAAGGAGAAAGAGATTTTAGAAAGTTTTTTTTTTCAGTATATATAATGTCGTGATTGTTGTCATAGCAACAGGCACAAGAAAAATATTACAGACCTGCTATTTAGAAAAATAAAAGATCAGTAGGGAAGCAGTGACATTTATGGCATGTGAAACAACAAGCCTAAGTGGGCCTAGAGTAATGGAGGAATTTGAAACGTGGACCATCGGGATCCAGGACAAGACAGCACAGATGAGTGGGGGGGCACAAGCCTGTCAACAGATGACAGGGGTGCAGCCAGCGTGGGTGCATCGTTTTGTGATCAGACCATATCAGAACTTTGTCATATCAGCTGTTGAACTCCAGGCCCGGGTTGTTTAAAGTTGTTACTGCTCCAGGAATGTGAAGCGTTTTTTGCAGGAGTCCTTCCAAGAGGGCTACATGGGTAGGGATCCAGACAGAAGCTCCAGCACTGCCTGTGGAGACCAACACAAGGCACGTGGAGCGTCTAAAAGCTCCTCCTTAAAATGGATTGATTTAGGTACATGGGACAATGTGTAGCACACCACATTGCCTTTTGCATCCTGATCTGTCCACCGTGCGTTTCTCTGAGATTGTGCCTATCCTGTAAACGCACGACCAACATGAAAGGCCTGTGCACATGTGTTCATAAAACTGAGACTGGTCATTACTTTATTTCATGTAGGATTGTATTTTATTCTGATTGTGCCCTCCCTACTTTTAAATGTTAAATTTTTCCTTCTGAAATGATGGTGATAGAGGTTATGGTGGTGTTATTTTGCTACTACAACTTAGCAAAGAAAACTGGAGCACTCCCAGGAGGGTTTTCAAATTTGGTGAAATGGGACTGACATGATGACTCAGTGGCTAAGCCTCTGCCTGCAAGCGCTGATGTCACATATGGGCCCTGGTTTGTGTCCCGGCTGCTCCACTTCCCATCCAGCTCCCTGCTTGTGGCCTAGAAGGGAAAGTAGCAGAGGATGGCCCAAAGCCTTGGGACTCTGCACCCACATGGGAGACCTGAGACCTGCAAGAATCTCTCGGCTTCTGGCTCCTGGCTTTGAATCTCAGCAGCAGCAGCCACTGTAGCTACTGGGGGAGTGAACCAACAATAGAAGATATTTCTCTCTGTCTCTCCTTCTCTGTGTAAATCTTTGTTTCTAATAAGGATAAAATCTTAAAAATTGGTGGGATACAGAAAAATTTTAATGCAGTGAAAAACCTACAAGTCTGAGAACTGCTGGCCTCTAAGAGATCTAGACCTTCAGAAATTTACCTCTCTTCAATCTGTGGAGGAACAATGCAAGTTGTCCAAAGGAGAAACACTGAGCAGATTGGAGTCTACCCGGGGCAGTGCCTGGAGAAGGGGCAGGCTTCAGATGCCCTCTGAAAGGCTCTTTAATCCAGAGGATCCAAGATTGAGAAAAATGATCTGAGAAGGGATTTGCTGGAGCAAAATTGGAAGAAACTGATGCCTTACTGGAAAGCTAGAGGGAAAAACTGGGGTGAATGGTGAAAGCAAAGGAATGAATTGCTCACTCTAAAGGTTTCTAATTTGGTTAAACAGAAGACTTGCATTCAAGGCAATATAATTAGCATTTAGAGTTAGGTAAGAAGCTATGTCACTACATCAAGGATCGTGCAATTTCCAGACAAGGACAAAGGTAGATAAACATGAAAAGTGAAAGTGATGGAGCAATGAAGGTCAATTCCATTTACACTGGCAATGAAACTGAAAGTTATGACAATTGGAGTTGCAAATGTCCTAGGATTTATGGTCATTTGGCCCTAATCCTTCCATTTATTATTTATTTTTGGTCTGTAGTAGCAAATGAGTCTTGAGGGGCCAGGATGGTGGTGTGGTAAGCTAAAGCCTCTGCCTGTGGCACCAATGACCTATCTGGGCACTCGTCTGTGTCCCAGCAGCTCCATTTTGGATTCAGCTCCCTGCCTCTGACCTGGGAAGGCGACAGAGGATGACTGCTACCTCAGGCCTCTTCAATGGATTGAAGAAATTCCAGACTTGGAAAATGCTTTCATGTGCTGGACAAGTTGTTTTTGAATTGTGTGTTGAAATTGTGGCAATCTTTTTAGGATGTGTAGTTTCTGGAAGGAAGGGAGAAGTGTTAAGTGTATTAAAAGTTATCATCTACATTGAAAAATGATATCTTAACATTTTTGTCCCAATGGATCTTTGGATTTGTTTTTTCATTAAACAAAAAATCTGTACTTTTTGGGTGTAATTTGGTGCTGAGACGGTGGCCTCAAGGCAGGCTTTTGTACCTTGTTTCAGGGGATGTTCGCGTGAGACCCCTGCCCCACATGTGCCAGGTGCTGACCTAAAGCCTTTGCTGTGCTGACCCCTTGCTCATCACAGCCATGGGATGAAGTCATTGCCAGTGTTGTTTTCACTTAAACAGCAGCCAAAGCAGTAGACAAGGCGAGTTAGTTAACTTGCTAACCAGTGGCATGGTCCCATTGGCTTGCACAGGCAGCCAGTACTTTGTTGTCGCTTTAGATTTATTTTTTCATTGGTAAAGCAGATACACAGAGAGGAGGAGAGACAGAGAAGATCTTCTGTTTGATGATTCACTTGCCAAGTAACCGGAACAGCCAGAGCTGAGCCAATCTGAAGCCAGGAGCCAGGAGCCTCCTCCAGGTCTCCCACATGGGTGCAGGGTCCCAAGGCTTTGGGCCATCCTCAACTGCTTTCCCTGGCCACAAGCAGGGAGCTGGGTGGGAAGCAGGGCAGCCAGGATTAGAACCAGCGTCCATATGGGATCCTGGGCGCGTCAAGATGAGGACTTTAGCTGCTAGGCTCCCGTGCTGAGCCCACAGCCTGTGCTTTGTACATTCATTTCCTTGCCTCTCTGGTGAGGTTCTCAGGTGTTTTTCTAGCCTGCTGAACAAATGGCAAGTCTGGATCTTATTATTGTGTTGGTGTCGGTTCACAGGCTGTAGAGTGGTTACTGGAGTGTGGCTTTTTCCTTCTCGCTCTGGGGAGGTAGGCCCAGTGGTCACTTTCCCTTTTGACTCGGGGACGGTGAGGTGCCCAGTGGTCACTTTCCCTTTTGACTCGGGGATGGTGAGGTGCCCAGTGGTCACTTTCCCTTTTGACTCGGGGATGGTGAGGTGCCTTCGGCAGCAAAGGGCTTTCTCTGGAGCTGCATGAGCACTGCTGAGCCGGGGCGGCCTTCCCCTGTGTGTGGGCAGTGCAGCTGCTGCGGGTCCCCGCTGGGCTGTCTTGTACATTTGCTTTGCAGTACTTTCGGGTAACAGAGCATACTCCCGACTGGCAGGAAGCTTTAAACAAAGGAAAACCTATCATGTGGGAAGATTTTGAGAAGGTCTTCTTGCAGATGTGAGTTTGTACAGAGGGCAAAGTAATTACAGTGTGGGCGTAGCTCTTTGGTAGCTGAGGCTGCTGGGAGACCTTGGTGCTATGGGGAAGACGCCCTGCCGGACGCTGCAGTGACCCCGGGGTGAGGGTTCTTTGCTGCTCATGCATTTCTGGGTGAGGCAGCTCTGAGCCTAAGGACCAGCTGTTTTGTCAAGTAACTGTGCGCTTAGCAGCTTGTTTGCTGGCACCAGGGACACAATTACCGAGCTGCCCTCCCCTGAGCAGTATGCTGAGAACCTGCCTTGAATATTCCAAGTAGAGGGTGGCCCCAGAGGCAGGTGGTTGTTTTGGGACCTCTGGAATCCTGTGTAGACACTCAAGTTCCCTCGGAGCTTAGGAGAAGAGGGTTGAAATGATAGAGCCACTACTTCCTCTATAAAGAGAAAGTCGGTTAACAAATACATGTAGAAACAGAAATCATTTCTCAAGTAGTACTGTCTTTTACAGTAATGTGTTTAAAACAATTAAATATTCTCATGTAGATCACTGATTGTTCATCCCACAAGCTGAAATCTAGTGATTTTGTTAAGCTGTCTGTCTTGGGTTCTTGTTGCCCGACCCATCCAGGCAGCTCTCTGCTTGACTTAACCGCAGCCTGCTCCGCACAAGCCTTCCTGCACCAGTCCCGCCATAGTCCCGGGAGCTGCACCTGTCACCACAGCCCCCAAGCCACTTCATCTTTAACTTACCAAGAAGGCTTTGCCTGATCTGCTGGGAGTAGCCTCTGCGGTCAGAGTTTACTTCACTGGGGAAAAAAATCCCTTCTCCCCTTTTTTCTTTTTGAGAATGGTAAGGTAAATATATGGAGAAAATGCTCTTTTTCATTTACCCAAATGTCAGCAGAAATGGAAAAAAAAAGTGTGTTATGTTGACATCCATGCATAGATCC